GAGATTGCTCAATAACTGCTTTAGTAACTGCTTTTCTGGATAACCATAATACCTTATATTTGCCAAGATCCTGGACGATTCAAAGGTTTTGGCGAGAATGAGGTCATCGCTCTGAGCGACCGTGAGGCACTCCATTCGCTCAGATTCTGGGCTTCTTGCAAGTTTGAGCGATAATGTTACTTTGTTCGTGGGCCTCCACTGTATTCATCAATGATCTTATTTGGGCCTTTATCCTGGACTTTCCGATTGGGGTTACATTTTTTGTATGTCAACAACACGCTTCATCAATTTTTATCAAAATTACTAAAAAATTTAATTTTAATCTCCATCGAATAATGGCTAAATGTTGACTTCAATCTTTACCTTCTAAAAACCTTTTCCACCGAGCACTTAAATTTATTTGATCAACTAAAAAACTATTTATTTTAAAATATGCTTACTCACTTGTAAGCAAAAAAATCACACGTACCCAATGACATTAAACAAATGCAACCGCAACTAGAGAAAATTTCAATTAAATTTGGTCCACCAGTATTGCAGTTGAACGCGTTAAGAATTGTAAATAGCCACCTCAAGGGTAGGTCATACTGTTAAGAAAAAATTAAAAGTGACGCGGCGTATTTTTGGATCAATTTATAAATGATTTATTAATTGGTCAAATTTTATTTTTTGGAAAATTACAATCGCATTATCAAACATTTCATTTAATGGCAATCTTTGTCCAAACTTTTCATTTGTGTCACCCACGGTACCAAACCTTTTAAAATGTCGCAACTGAAGTCCAAATGAAAAGAAAGTGTTAGTTTGACCATTAGTTGACCAAAAATTTAACATTGACCATAATCTCGACTAATTAAAGGATAAAATAGTAACTTTACATTTTTTCAATAAAAATCAAGATTATGATATATTAATAATTAATAAAAAAAAGCCAGAAATCAAACACAAAATCCACTATCCACCACCTTCCTCTTCTTCCCCTACCCCCTTACCCCAAAACCACCAGTGGCAGCGCCCGACACCACCGCCACCCACCCCACATCGGCATCATCGCTCCTTCCATCCACACACCAAGAACCATCCATTAACGGAATACACACTCTAAACTTGCACACAATCGAATCATTTTCTATCAAAATCCCTAACCCACGATAGAAATCTCACTGTAAATTTGGACAAGTAGATGAATTGAGCAGAAAAGAAGCACTGGGCATTAGGTTATCTTCTCGTATTCTGCAGTTTATTTGACGTCCACATTCTGCCACAACAAATGATTTTGGTGCATGTGAGTTCACGGTAACTCAATTTGGAATTGTTTATT